CAACTGATTGCAATGTATTCCCATCGGCGGCGGTATTTGACGCTCATAGAAGCACCGCATCTGTCCATGTCGGCGGCACTTAAGTTAAGGCAATGTGAGCGTCCATTCCCATTGGATAAGGGAGGATTTTACACCCGGAAGTAAGTATTCTCTTTACTGTTGATTGATTTTACAGTGATATCTGCACTACTCATCAACTCAAAAACACCAGATTATCCTTGTTAATTACACAACATTGATTGGTTTAAATTGTGTACAATGCTTTTGTATTTTCCTCCTTTGATTCGGAGAAACAAATATTTTTTCGGAGTTTAGGATGGCAGAAGACACTACACTCCCCAGAATCCTCAGCTATCGTTTGGGATGAAACCCATCGACGTTGACGGCACACTATCCAAAACAGGAATCAAACGTGTCCTACCCCCCTTTTGAAATAGTGCAATAAGAGCCTATATACAAGTGATTGGAATATGATAGATAAATAATTTCTAAGTAGCAGCCAGATGAATGTTATGGATGTTGTTTCAAAGTTCAGGTGTTTAATAGGAGTGCAACAACTAATCGGCTTAATCGATTAAAATCGATTACCAAATTAGTTGCCAACTAATTCAGTTGTCGATTCGTTGGTGACGACATCACGTGTGTGTTACGCGCCGTTGAGCTCCAACGTTATTGGTCTTTTTATCGGTTGGACTACTGGAGACATTTAAAAAATATACAGTATGTCATGTATTATTGCTACAAAAACATTATATCGCATTCTTAGTGTCGCCACCTCGTTTCTAATATGCAAAGTCTATGATGTATTTTCTATCTTTCCAATCCAGACGAGATCTCCCTCCCCCGTGTGTGAGCGAGGGGGCGGGGCAGTTTACACACACGCAGCTGCTACATGCATGCAACACACTGCGGGAATGGCGGAGAGAACGCGCTCCGAGGTGTGGTTCAACTTTACCCGTCTCGATGTGGACAATGCTCGTTGCCAAAAGTGCAATACGAGTTTAGCATGTACGGGCGATAACACGAACAATTTGTCTAAACATTTAGCAAAAGTGCACCACATTCAGATGGAGAAATGCACCGGGTTNCATTAAGGAGTTAATAAATCAAACACTGATGGAACATCACTATATTGTGATTATTTATATAGGCTTTTTCTGTCAAAAATATCCGGGGTCGGTCAGGGGCCCCCTGACCGACCCCGGATATTTTTGACAGAAAAAGCCTATATAAATAATCACAATATAGTGATGTTCCATCAGTGTTTGATTTATTAACTCCTTAATGCATGAATTACAACAAACTAAGGATATTTTCATCTTTATGCATGAAAAAAAATATTTTTCCAAGGAGTTTTTCCATTTTTTTCATTAATATGTTTAACAAACCAATGAACAAAATGAAAATGAATTATTAAAAACTATAAATACAATACACAAATGTAACATGTTTATATGAGGACCCCCTTAGTGGTTCTAGGAATATTTTAAATACAATTGTGTTTTCTATTTAACTTATTGTACTAATATTATTTTTGTAATCATGCATGGTATTTTTTTAATTAACCTTTTTTATTTATTTGTACCTCACGTACCCCCTGCAGTACCCCAACGTACCCCTAGGGGTACGCGTACCCCCATTTGAGAATCACTGATCTACTGATCTTCATAACTATACAATTGACGATAACATACTCAGCAGAGAAAATACATTTCATTCTAATCACCAGACTTTGTTTTCAATAACATAACATTATTTCAGTATACTATTTGGGATAAAACGTTAATTAATGCCCCAATTTCCATGACATAGTTGAGAAAGGTCATGTTTAATGTTCGCCGCTCCTTCTCCCCAGACGGCCTGGAGAAGAGGTTTGGCTCGCTCTCTGCCGATGTGTCGGAGCGGGCGGAGCAGCTGCAGACGGCGGTGGCGCAGTCTGTCAGCGTGCAGGAGGGTCTGACGGCTCTGCTGGGCTGGCTGGACAAACTGCCTCTGACCCCGGGCCCTGTGGAGCCCACCACTCAGGCCCTGCAGGACGCCCTGACCCAGAACCAGGTACAAGTTACCCTCAAGTCATCGGGAACACTTTTTTTGGCTAGACCAAAAATGTTTGGCGAGACACCTAAGTTCTATTGGATTTTCAGCATTTTAACACATTTTTGGATGAGATGAATCAATTCAACTTTGTCTGTAGATGTTTAAAAGATTCTTTGTCATTATCCAATACATTCTTAAATAAACTGACATTTTATTATTGATTGTATTAACGGATAATGCAATTGAAATAAGATTCACGATGTTTGAAGGGTTGACCCTTTTTGCCTTATCATTGAAAGCTAATGTATATTTATTTATGTTAAAACATATATAAAATAATCATACGAGGAGTTTATCTTTTATTTACACTGCTAAAAATATAGTCAAGAACTTTGGAAAAATGTCGCTCTCAACACTGTACGTTACCATAGTAACACAGTGACTATGTCGAACTGTAACTGTGAGATCATTGCTTGTGTTTAACCACAGGTTGAGTGAGTACAGCTCAACTAAAGTATTCTCTAAGGTTTCAAATACTATATGGATAATCTGTTAAAAATCTACAGAAAATCAAAACAGTTCTCAACTGAATGGCTGTAATCTGTTGAATGCTTTTGATCTATTGTTAATTGTTGTTCTAAAAAACGAAAATGGCATTCTTAATAGAATTTGTTCCTCGTCTTTACCCAGAAACTTCGCCAGGAGCTGCTGTCCCGGCAGGGCAGCGTGGAAGCAACGCGAGACTCCATCTCCAAACTCCTGCAGAGCTCGGACGCCTCCACGGCCTCGGGCCTGCAGGGCTCTTTAGACCAGCTGACTCAGCGCTACGCCGCAGCGCAGGGCAGTCAGGCGGAGAGCGAGGCCCAGCTCAAAGGGCTGCTGCCCCGCCTGGAGAGCTACGAGCGGCTGGGGGCCGACCTCCAGATCTTCACCCAGAGCCGACTGAAGGCCCTGAGCCCGGGGGGGCAGCCTGAGCGCAGCGTGGACGACTACAGGCAGACCATCGAGGTCAGCAGTTATATCACTTCAACTGTCTGACACATCAGAGCCTCTGAGAGATAAGTGGATAAGTTCTACTGCTGGTGCATTCAACGCTGTCCGTCTTTTCTCAGGAGGTCAAGTCTGAGCTGGAGCAGGAAGCCGGTCAGCTGAGATCCTTCTGCAACCTGGGCACCGATCTCAGCCAATCAAAACCTTTCAATAACACACAAAGCTTATTGGATAATGTCAAAGGAGTGTCAGATGAGTTCACCCAACTGGAAGCCAATGTCAACCAAAGGTAACATTTTTACAAGATAACACGTAAGAACCGCCTCTTTCAAATCATTCAGCCATACATGTGAAGTATTACATTTCCCTCACCTTGCAGAGGAAGGTTTGGTCCTTTTTGTTGCCATTTTCTATAGAAAATCCTACATTAAAATCAATATTATTAATATGTGATCTTAACGTTGTGTTAGTAGGAAATAATTATAACTATGAAGGTTGCACATACAAATGGGAGTGATTTTATGATTTCTGCAATGTGCCATAGATGACACAAGGGGGCAGCAAACAGAAAATCAGTCAGCTATGAAGTTTTTGATGTTAAAATATGACGAGCTCCAGTTTGACTGACAACCAAAAATAACTTCAGCAACAGATGAAGCGAATCTTAAATATTAAGATTTGATTTGATAGGATACTTATGAAAAATACCTGTGAGTGTCTCTGAGAACAGACCATGCCGCTGGCATTTACAACATTTGTTTTCTAATTCTGTAGCCTTCACAGTGAACCAGTTGCTATGCCTACCCTGGGTGAGGTGGATTCAGCCACTTGAAGCCTGTCAGGAGGGGGGCTGGGAAATTATAAATACCATCAGTCTGGTGCAGATTTATTTCATTATATAACTATTATTAGCTGTTAATGGACATATTTAAATATATCCTGAACAGATATCCAGAATGTGACCTTTTATCTATCATTTATAACATGTAGCTTGTAAACTCTTAACTTGCTGCACTGCAGTTGCTTACAGTGCAGCGTGTCCATGTCTCTACTGTATCTGTGTGAAGCCCCGGAGCTAATATAAGCAGCGTGGACACGGCTCATTGTCCATCCCATAAACGGCCTACTCGTATGACCCCCAGCCCTGAATCCTGAGGGGAGAAAATAGCTGCACGATAATGATACGTCTGTTCTGTCTACGGGCCACCAGCACTTTGCAGCCACAGCTAGAGGCTGAGAGAGTGAGGTCAAGGCTGAGAAAAGGAAGGCCAGTGTGAGCTTTCAAGTTTTGTCAGTTTTATTATTTTTCTAGCCCAATTTGCCTCAAGGCGCTGTACAATCTGAAGGTCAAACAACCTTCTGACCTCAGACAATTTGATTGAGAAGAGAAAAGTAAACACAAAATATTTTGAAAGGGGAAAACATGGGAGAAACCTCAGCAACAGATGGATTCCTCTCCAAGAACAAACATACATGCAATAAATAAACGTGTATTATTTTCATTTTGAGTATCAGAAATGCTTTTCACCAAATGCTGCTCTTTTGTATTGATTATTTGGACAATCAGATATTTGCAGATATAGAGACACAATTTCATATAATATGCCTATTTTACAAAATCAGTTTACAGTCATATCAACTCACAAAAAGCAACTTAAGCAGGATCTGACTATGTTATAACTGTAGGAAGGGTGGGTGCCTAGAAGGAAATAGTTAAGTGATGTGCCATGGGAATTTCCCCACAATGTTTGTTGCATTAAGGATATTGTATCATTGAAATTACACATATATTCACTAATGTAACAATAAAACACTTTAACAGACATAGGTTTACGTTGCGTTAAAGTGTAGGATGGATTATTTTATTTTATCTATATTCCCACTTTATGTAACTCCTCCTCATCCTCTCTATCACTGCCTCCTACCTTCTCTTTCTTTCTTTTTCTATAACATTTCCTCTCTTCCTCTGTCTGCCTCCGACAGGTTTGCTGCCCTCCAGGCCTGTGAGCAGCAGCTCCTGCAGTTCCGCGGGCTCTCCGGCTCCCTCCTCAGGTGGCTCCAGACAGGGCAGGACCAGCTGGCGGCCAAAGAGGCCAACCTCAACACAGAGAGCCTGCAGAGGAGAGTCCAGCAGCTCAAGGTGTGTGTGTCTCATCATTCATTCATAACAAATGACTCAAAAGCCATGCCTTCCACTGGTTAAAAAAAAGTCAAACATCTACATGCCGTTTGAATCCCGACTATATCATGTGTTCTTAAGCCACAATGACTCAGCAAATTGCATCTTGCCTCCAGGACTTGCTGGATGACTGGGAGTCTCAGGGAGGAAGAGTTCAGGATCTGAACAAGACGGGCTCTGAGCTGGAGTCGCTCATCATCGACATCACCGCTCCTAAGACCAAAACTGGTAAGAGACGTCAAACATATAAAACCCTCAACTCTGAGTTTAAATTACTTATTTATAATAAGGGCTTTTTTACAAGATGATGTAAAAAATAATGGGAGGGAAAATAATCACCAAGGGGTTTATAAAATGATTTGACCGGAGAGAAAAACAGAACTGAAAAACAAAATATGAACACAAGGAAGCAGGAAGAAGGCAGAATAGAGCGAAACAGAATATATTATAATTTGCATTTAGAATCACTACTTCTGTTATAATAACACATTTTTTGGTACAGCTCATCTGTGATGGTTTCAGGGGTCATAATATGTATTTCTTTTTTTAAATGTAAAGTGCAGACAAATGCAACAAAGCCACCAATCTCAAAAATTGTTTTAGTGCTCTGTAATTAATTAAAAAGTTAAAGGCGACATTTTGAGAAAGTCAAATAACTTTGTTAGTTGGATAACAAAGCAGATTTCACACATTTGATACACTCATTACATTTCGATGTAATTGAAGCGTATTGGTATCGTGCATGACTGCATCACTTCTGTCGTCTGTTTCCACCGCTTTTGGTCCTGTTTTCTGTATGACCTTGTACAAGTGTTGTAGTGCACTGTCTCAGTCCGCTGTGTCCCTCCCAGGTCTTCCTCACATCAATGGCTCGGCAGGGCCCAGCAGTGTCAATGGCATCCACACCTGTAAAGGTGAGATCTCCCTCTAGCTCTCTTTCTCTTTCAGTTCCTCCTCAAAATGAGTAGAACAAAAGCTTCCTTGAGTTTGGCTCCTGTTATGTTGCTGGTCACTTTATATGATGACTCTTAAATGATTACTGTTTTCTTTTTCATCTGTCCTGTCTCCATCAGCTGTCTGTCCATGCAAATATCTGTCTGTGGCATTTGGCCAATGCAAAAATAAATATCGCCCTGTTTACATGTACTAGCTGTCTGATGGCTCAACTGTATACCTTATTAGCATTAGCAAATTAGCATTGTCCTACAGGTCACACTCCCAGGGGTCCTGACACTCAAAATATGTCTAAAAAAAACAACACAAGACACCCAAAATACATACACATAACGATTATAAAGACATTTAAGACAACATCAAAGTTTCAAAACTACAAAAAGACACACAAGACGACTACACATAGATGCAAAACTTTGAAAAATTGCACAAGACAATCAAAGAGATGGAAAACTCAAACAACTCCAAACAATAACCTCAAGGAGATGCAATAAAATACTACAAATATACATAAAACTACCACATAGAAACCTAACATAGATGTTAAGCGACTAAAACAAGGCACGAATTGTGACTCTTTGTGTTTGGTGGTCTTGGTTCATGTAGACTGGGTTTGGGGGCTTCCAGCATTTCTGTGTCCAGGGGCCCATTCTCACACAATCCATCCATGCTTATTACCCTACCTTACTATATGTGTTGACTTTATTGTTCTTACATTACCTATCTATTTGTGTTTGTTTCTGCTAATCTCAATAGCAATATGCTAATCCATGTCCTCCTTTCCCTCACTGTGCCCTCAGACCTGACGGAGCTCCAGGTAGCCGTGTCTGATGTGAACGGTCGGTATGAGGCGCTGGGGGGGGATCTGAAGGAGCGCCTGGGCAGACAGGAGGTGTCTCTGGAGCTGAGGCAGAAGGCCAGGCAGGGCGCTGAGGAGCTGAAGAGCTGGCTGACAGACAGGGAGAGCAGCCTGAAACAGGGACAGACCGCCTCCCCCTCGAAACCGGAGGTGGTCCGCGCCCAGGCCCAGGAGAACAAGGTAGGACCGGATCCCTCTATTGGGCTTTTCTCTAACAATGAAAATCATGTAATAAGATCACGGTATATACTCATAGAGTATACTTTTTTTAGTCCTTCAGCTATTTTGGACTCATTGTATATAATTCAATTATAGACGATTGCAATATTATAATATATTAATATTATTAATTAGTGCAACTGTCTTTATTTTTTTATTTTTTTGGGGTCTTCAAAAATAAATAAATAAAACATAATAAGATATATTACAATCTTTACCTGTTGTTTAAAGTCTTTAAACATTGAAATTATTTGTAACCAAATAAATTATTTTAAAATGTAAATTTTTTAATCCATTTTCATTTATGAAATCTGCAGGAGAGTGACATGGACACATTACATTGTCTTTCCTGTTAAACTCACACATCAAGACTCTCTTTGCCTCATCTAAGTTATGAAGTCATATGAAATAGATGCAGTATTTAACTGCTGGTCTTCTTCCCGTCCTCCAGGCTCTGCTCTCAGAGCTGGCGGAGCACTCTGGGAAGGTGGAGGAGCTGAAGAGCTCGCTGAGGAAACTGATCGCTGACAATCCAGATTCTCCCGAGGCCGACACCTGGAGGCAGCAGCTGCAGGAGATAGGTGTGTGCTAAAGATGACACAAAAATACATGAGGGCGTTTGACAAGATGATGGGAGCCACTTTACAGAAACTGGAGGCAGAAACTATAGTCAAATGATGGGGGGGACAGCTTTGAGGAATACTTTGCAGTACAAGTCAAAGACCCTGTGTAGCCATTATGAAGAAAAACCCAGATACAGAGAAGGGACAAGGCCTGAGGGATTTAAATAATCATCCATTTAGAGAAATATGATCAGTGAAAACAGTCGGTGAACTTATGTTACGTTATGTCTGTCTTGCCTGTAATTTATTTTCTTATTGGCAATAGTTTGTAATGAAAATATTTGAAATAAAGGTTGATTGTTCTTTTGTTAGGTTATACCTGGGCAAAATCCAGGGTATATTGGCAGAAGATGAATATGTCTTTCAATATTTTTTGGCTCCTAGCAAGAAAGCCATCACGCAGGAATGGCTGCAGCCTTCCAACAACGGATGACTGCACTGCCAATGAAATAAACTACCATGTAAAAAAACACTGGAAACAAAAGGAGTTTAATTGAGGCGCAAAAGAAAATGTGTTTAAAAACTGAGAAAAGATGAAAACAAGATTAGGTATCCTTACTGTGGTGTGTTTTGAAAACCGTTAAAAAGAAGGTGGTATGGAGCCTCTGAATTTGAAATACTTTTTCGAGACATGGCGAGGAACCGAGGAATTGATATAATCCAGGGACAGAGTGGGAAGTGTTCTTTTCAAAGATATTTTTTGTCTTGCATATCTGATATTTTTACCAGCCTCCTATGATGTAACCAAGACAGAAATATTTAAGGTGAAATCCAAGAAAGGGGCCTTTTATATGTCAGATTCGATAATGCCTTTTCATAGCCATTTGGACTGAATACACACACACACTGATGGATGCCCAGAAAATGAGTCATAGTGGGAGAAGGAGAGAATAATTAGGAGGAGGGACAAAGGGTGAAATCATTTAAATAGTTTTCTTCTACACATTGATTCACCTTGGATTTCATCTCTATTATTGATATTATTTCATATTACCCTTTATTTTTCATAACCCCCAAAAATTACAAACACGTGCAGCAACGTTTTTCATAACCCACTCTCAATTGACTACTCTCCCAGACTCGCGCTGGCAGATGGCCAATCAGACGGCAGCGCAGAGACAGACGGAGCTGGAGACGTGTGCTGATAGGCTGGGCAGCTTCGCCTCAGCGGCCAGTCAGCTGGGCCCCTGGCTGAGGGAGAAGGAGCTGATGATGAGCGTGCTGGGGCCCCTGAGCATCGACCCCAACATGCTGAACACACAGAAGCAGCAAGCACAGGTTAGTGATGGAAGACAGGGATAACACCAAGTGATACAAAACATTAATATGTACGCAAACACACACACAATGTGGTAATCCATACACAAAATCCAGCAGAAGGAGAAATACATCAAGAAAAAAAACGGAATAATGACAAAAGATAATGTGTATTAGTAATTTCATTGGCTGTTAATACAACATATACTCCTTCATACTCTTATTTTGACATTCAAATGCACTTATCATGAACTCAGGCTGATAGTATGAAAATATTTGATACATTTTCAAGACATATGTGTACATTCAATTACAAACCACAAAGTTATGTGTTAATATTTAGTTAGCATTGTATAAAAAAAGTCAAGTTGTTACATTTATATAAAAAATGTATTCCAATTATACAATTCCTAATTTTAATAATTTCTTAAAATTAAAAACAATAATAATAAAACCCTGCTTTTCTAAATGCTATTTTTTATTTATCAAACAAAAAACGTACTTTTTGATTAAAATATTTATTTCATTCAAATTAATATTTGAATCTCTCCTCGTTTATCTTCCAGTTCATGCTGCGTGAGTTCGACACGAGGCGGCCGCAGTTTGAGCAGCTGACCCAGTCTGCGGAGGGAATCCTTTCCCAGACTGGGGACTCTGCTCAGGACCCCAAGGACCTGGCGGAGGTGCGGTCTGAGCTGGGCTCCATCTCCCAGCAGTGGGAGGAGCTTACCAACCGACTGACCCAGAGGTCAAACCACATCGACCAGGCGCAAGGAACCAGCGAACAGTACCAGGTAAGTCAGATTGACTTGACAGTATGGATTCATGTTATACTGTCACTATGACGCCATTATTTCCTAACCCCCCTCCTCTCCCGCCCAGGCCCTGCTCAGAGAGCTCTCCTCCAGTGTATCTGCTCTGGGGGAGAGGTTGGATGGTCAGGCCTCGCTGAGCGCTCAGCCCGAGGCGCTAAAACTCCGCCTGCAGGAGACAGGTGAGATCCGCTCTGAGCTGGAGAGGCGGCGCTGCGAGCTGGGCGAGGCGGAGAGGCTCTGCAGCGAGCTGAGCAGCATCGTGGCCGAGCCGTACCTGAAGGAGGAGCTGAGCAAACGCCTGCAGAGCGTCAGCGCCCCGCTCAGGAGTTTAGAGGAGCGCGCAGGTTGGTGGACTTCATGTGGTTGATATGTGCTTTTAGTGAGTTTAATGACACAATGGTCCCTTTTTCCTTATAGATGGTCATGACCGGGGTAAATATTAAATTGTCCTACTGTATATTGAAAACTGAAATTAAATACATTTGTAAACATGAATCACACATTAGTGACTACTAAAACAACAAAATCCAATCTAAATCAATATATTAGTCTTATGATAATGGAAATTACATTTGCCTTTATCCGCCAGATAATCTGTTAACAGTCATTACAGACCCAAATCATTAATTTTTTATAGAATTTTGGACATGATGATCAGTTATAGTTCTCCTTTAATTCATGTACTAAGTACGTACGTACATTTCTCAAAATTAAAGACTGCAAAGTGTTCTGGTATGTTTATGCTTTACTTATATGCAGGTAGTAATTTTCTCTACAGAGGTAATGATCTACTACAGGGGTGCCCACACTTTTTTGGCTGGTGAGCTACTTTTGAAATGACCAGCTCACCGAGGTCTACCAACCAAAAATAAAATCCCAAATTGCAAGGGTTGCTGAATAACACGTTTTATTTATACATGGGATAACTGCAATAGGGCTGCAACAAACAACTAATTTGATAATCGATTAATCTATCGATTAATGAAACGATTAATCGACTATTCGGACTATATTACTGTATGCCTTGCACAATTTCTCAAACGCTCTTATTTAGCCATCAACTTTTAGATTTAGCTTGAGGTTGTTTTAGGCATGTGGAAACTAACAATGAAGACAATAAAGATGAACACTTGATTCAAAAATACATATATTATTAAATTAACTAAACACATTTTGAACAAAATTAACTGCTTTTTATTTAAATAAAATAAATAATATTTCACATCAAAAGAAACAACAATGTTTTAACAAATCGTATTAAATAATTGATGACAGAACTGTAAACAGAATAGCTGAAACTTTAACAAAATAAATAACCTCTAATCATTAACCCATGTTTGTATAATTGAGTTAACTCTGTGTGTTGCTGCTAGCATACATAACACCTTACGTGGAAACGTTACTCACGGATGGGGCTACAGAGCTACTAGAAAGACAGTCGAACCCGGTGCATTCCTCCTTCTGAATGTGGTGCACTTTTGCTAAATGTTTAGACAAATTGCTCGTGTTACCGCCCTTACATGCTAAACACTCTTGGCAACGAGCATTGTCCACCTCAAGACGGGTAACATTTAACCACACCTTGGAGCGCTTCTCTCCGCCATCTCCTCAGTGTGTTGCTGCATGTAGCAGCTGCGTGTGTGTAAACTGCCCCGCCCCCTCGCACACAGACGGGAGAGAGATCTCGTCTCGATTGGAAAGATCAAAAATACACCGACCATAGACGCATTTGTTTGTCTTTTTGCATGTTAGAAACGAGTTGGCGACACTAAGACTGCGAGATAATGTTTGTGTAGCAATAATACATGACCTTTCTCTTTCTCAACTCGCTACTCGGTGGGAAGTCGCTGTCATATGCCTTGTGAACACTCCGATAATGCCTCTCCACGTTACCTTTCTTTGGCAGAGCGTCGCTTGCTTTACAAATAAGGCAAATAACCTTTGAATGTGACTTCACAAAAAAATATTCTTCCTCCCATTCTGGGTGGAAGTGGTATGTCTTTAGCTTTTTGCTCGGTCCCGCACTCATTTTGTTGTTTGTCTCTTGTTTGTCTCTCCCGGCACTTGACTGATTTTGTATCGCTTTGCATTCTGGGTTAACAGACTGGAAAGCGATGGGTCGCTTTTTCTGTCAATCAAGTAAACTCCTGAATTAAGTGGCAGGGAGGCCAAGGGAGGAGGGATCAAAACCTGTTTTGTCTATTTTAACGGAGCTGGATTTTTTTTTTATGAATGACTCGCGATCTACCAGCATTGCCCCCGCGGTCGACGTACTGGGCACCTCTGCTCTACTATGATGATGACAAGTTGATGTGGTCAAACCATATTCTCTTCCAAACGTAATCCCTTCAGCTGTAATAGGAATAGTGTTTTGATTTCAATGAAACTGACAAATCCACCAAAAATAAATACAACAAAAGTCTTTCTTTTAGTTTGAAAGAGCTTCTCAGTGTTTATGTTTGTATATCCCTGTGTTTTTCTTTCCTCTAGCTGACGGGCTGTCTCAGCTCCAGGCCGCTCTGTCGTCCACGCAGCAGTTCCAGCAGATGTTTGAGGAGCTGCGCTCGTGGCTCGACAAGCAGTCGGATCCCAGAGCGTCTTCCCCAGACTCCCTGCCCTGTCAGCCGCAGGCCATCCGCTCCCTGCTGGCTCAGACTGACGACCTCCAGCGGGGGGTCGCCAGTCAGAGAGGCTCCTACGAGCTGCTGCAGGCCGAGGGAGCGTCGCTGCTCGCCTCTCTCCCCGCGGGCGGAGAGGAGCGCTCTGCCCTGCAGTCTCGCCTGGCCTCCTTGAAACAGGACTGGGATGGGATGAACCAGAAGATCGCGGATCGAGAGAGCAGACTGAAAGCCACACTCGGCAAAGCAGAAACCTACCAGCAGCACAAGGCCGAGCTGGTACCGTGGTTAGCGGAGTGTGAGGGGAAAGATGCTGAGATCCAGCCATCACTGGACCCTGCGGCGCTGGATAAAGCCCTGCAGAAGGGCCGAGGTCTATCCCTGGACATCGAAAGACGACAACCCCTCCTCGAGGCCTTCAACACAGCAGCAGATCAGCTGCTGGAGCAATGCTGCATCGGGGACGAAGAGGTACGTACTACTACGTTGGTTTCTACTCTCAAGTGTGTTTTTTATTATTAAGCTTGAGGAATTTGGGTGTATGTTAGCTTGTTTTTATTTGTGGTCTTTAAAAGTCACAGCTAAACTGATGAACTCGTGTTCTGCAGGTACGAGATGAGAAGGCCCAGCTGAACCGCAGGGTGGACGGACTGGGGGAGAGGCTCCATCAGCGCTCCTCCCAGCTGGAGGAGCTGGCTGGACGTCTGAAGGAGTTTGAGGAGAGTAGGCAGGCAGCGGAGAGGAGGCTGGAGGCCGCCAAGCACCAAATTGAAGTCCAGGAGGCTCTGGGTCCACAGGTAGAAAAAGACGACTGTCTTCATGTTGCTTTTATTGTTCTTTAAAAAGTCTCTTTTACTCTATACCAAAGGGTAAACACTTAACTGAGTTAAAGACCCCTCATAACCCCATCTATGGGACAGACAACATGATATGGCTTTTGATGACTGGTTACCCTAAACTTCATATAAATATAAGAATACAATATTTACTTAATTTCAAATATGTTTTTTTAATAAATATGTATTATCTATTTAAGTAGATTTTTTTCAACCTGTATTTACTTATTTTGACAGTATAGCATTAATTTGTTATTATAAAAAAATGTATTGTTGTATGTGATGACATATTGAGGGTAGCGGTGATTGTGCACTCCTCTCAATATAAATATGTATTATACAAAAGTGGCAAATAGAATATGACTACTATGGTTTTTATGAAGACATAAATAAAAGCTTTGGCGCTTTGTGTTTCCTTCTCTCCCCCCCAGGCGTGCAGTGCTAAGAGTCTGGAGCGTCTGAGGAGTCAGCAGGAGGGTCTCCGCTCCCTGAAGCCTCAGGTGGTGTACCTCAGGGACCTGGCCCAGGGTCTGGTGCAGGACGCCCCGCAGACACCGGGGGGCAGCACCGAGGGCGCCAAGGGGCTCCAGGAGCAGGCCAGGGGCACGGAGAAGGAGTATGAAGACGTCACTGACAAGGTGAGGAGCAGAGTCAGGGAAAGAGAAGAACAGTGGATATATTATTGCTTTTCTTTGTTGTAAATGCTCCAGGTTTGGATAATGATAATTGCACAGAAGGACATCAAACATGCCTCAACATCTCTATCTTAATGAAAGCTATGACACAGTGTTGTAGTCAAGTCAAGGGGGGGGGGGTGAGGGAGGCGCTCGTGAATTGTTGTTACGGAAAGAGAGGGGTTTTAGGTTGCCATAAGGCTGTTGACGGTCTTATTATGGGCTACATCCATTGGTTGGTTTTTGTGGCACATTTGTAACGCTGTGCCAACTCGGGCAAGCACGCAGGCAAACTTGAGGAGCGCACACACAGGGTGGAGAGGTGGAGTGAGGTTGAGCAGAACGGAGAGAGAGAGAGAGATTGAGCGAGGCAGAGAGCGTGTGCAGCGGTCTGCTTGCGCACAGAGCAGTTTGTGAGAGAGCCGGCTTGAGAGTCAATTTCTCTTCAAAATATAATTGATTGCCAGCCTCCCTTGTCCCTGGCTGGCTTGCTAGCTCGTTGGTAACGTAACCGATTTCTTCTAATGTGCCTGCATCTGGCGCTGAGTTGCCATATTCCTTTCATGAACCACTTCCTGATATCCATTGTTGCAGATAAATATAAATGATAATAGCCAAACTAACCTAGCAAGAGTAAACTGACAGGCTGCTGTGCCGCATCTCACTCAAAAACCCACACCACCCAACCACAGGACTCAACCCAGTGAAAAACCAGTCTCGCGCGCAGCCTTTCATTCAGAATTTCATAGCAAAATAAAAAAAAATGATATTAAACTAATCTTTCAACATAGTTTAAAACAAAAATAAATATTAGGACAAAGCCCTACAAATAACAACAATAAACATAATAATAAAACAATTAAAATGTTGTATTCAGCCCTGATTAAAACAGCGGGCCCAAATCCTGGATGGGCGGGCCCAAATCCTGGATGGGCGGGCCCGGCCCCATGGGGCCCGCCCATGACGCCGGGTCTGGGCCCGCGCACATCACTTCAACATGTGGAGAGAAAAAAACAAAGACAAACCTGCCTAGATACTTTTTCTAAGCAGTTAGGACAACCGCTGCTTTGGGGAGGGATTTTAGAACTGTCAATTGCAGAGCAAATTTGTCTTGAATCCAGAAAATGCGTTTTGAAAGAACAAGAGCATTTGCCTCAAAATGGCTTCTGTCATGTTTTTTTTTTTTAAAGGTTTTAAGCTGGCCTCAAAGGTGTCCGTGCTTAATTGGGAGTGTGCTAGTTCTGTATGATTTTAATAGCATAGAGCCACCCAGTCCGTCTCCGGAGGGATTATCCTGTAAAACTCCAGGGAGCCGGGGAAATCAGGGGACGGGGGCTGACAGCGACTGGAAGAGCTTTCCTGCTGCTGCACAGCACACTGACTTCACATCTCTACAGATTAGATTGAGAGTCCTGATCCACATACTGTTAATTATGTTTCAACTTTTTTTTACTCCTTTAATTTCTCTCTATTCCCCTTCCTCGACCCATGAAGTTGTCGAAGATTACAGTTGTTTTCTTCCTGGTGTCATCTTTGTCTTTGTCCCTTTTCTTTTGGCTGCATAAGTGAAAGTAAGGCAGCCCTCTCCTCTTTGGCTTTAGGGGGGGGCGGACACTGTGTCCTGTTCTACATTTGGCTGCCCTGCCTCGTGCCTTGTTACCATCGGGGCTTTGCAAACGTAATCCAAAAACGGGGATGTGAAGTTGGATGGAGGCTCCTGACATGAAAGTGTCACAATGTGACAAAAGGCCTTAAGGCTATTTTCTTGTGCAGCCTTTGCTGGGATTCAAAGCAAAGGGGTTCATAGTTTAGGCCAAGTGTCAGAAACATGTTTTCCCTTATAAATTGTTGGAGAAGCGCATTTTTAGTAGGAAGGCAGGAAATCAAAACCATTTCTCAGAGTTCAGCAACCTGTCAGTGGCTCAGGTCAGGACCAGATACTGTGTTACTTCGGGTTGCGTTATTTTCACATTTACAACATGGCCCTGGTCTGGGATCCGGTTTTGGTCTAAATTCTTTAATAGCATGACAGTTTAATAGTTTTTGGTTTGAAAGTTGCCGGCAGGTGCTGTGTAGGTCTTAAAATAACTTTTCACTTGTTGCAGATGGTTTTCCTCTGCCTAGTGTTACTGAGTCTAATGGCGCATTTCCACTACAGCGCGGTTTAAGCTGCCGTGCCCGGCCCGTTTTTGGTTGCGTTTCCACTTGGTGTAGTACCAGCTAGCGGATACATAAATAAACCAGCGACTGTATTCGCCATGACACAGACAGTCTGTGGTTTGTACTTGTTTAACTTTTGTCTAGTTTCTGAACAGATATGAGGAGCTGTGAGCTCTGAGGGCTAACAGCTAACGGCTGATGTTGGTTTTGTGTTTCGCATTGAAGATCACGGCTCCGCCTACACTGCGTTACTATAGTTATTACTGCCCCAGCTACTAAACTGTAATGGAAACGCAGCATAAAGTGAGCCTGGCCTAACAAGGCCTAACTATACCGTACTAAGCCGAGCAAGGCCCTGCAATGGAAATGCGCCATACGTTCAAAGAAAACCTTTACTTAAGGGACATACAGATGTTGTTCTGCTTTTGAATTTGACTCTGCATTTCCACTTCAGTACAGCATAGCTCTACTCAACTTGACCTGCTCTTGACTCTGGTTCCCTTTTATTAACAATTAGATTGTACCTGGTACAGTTTTGGTTTCACCTCAGTTAAGGTTTCAAGCAAGCTTTTTAAGTTACAGCAGTTTTGTCTAGCGATCAGCTGAAAATGCCGCCTACACCTAGCAGTTTCTATCTGGATTAAAAAATCTAAATAGACAAATGAACTTGTTCCAAAAACTGAGTCAAGTCAAGACGAGCATTGCTTTGTAAATGAGGCATTAGACGGTAATGTTCTATATTCTCACAATTGGAACTTCTCCGGTCTGTAAAGTGGGCCTGCTATACATTCAGTAACAGTTTCAAGTTCTTGGAATCTCCTATGTAAAATGATGTAAGCTCCTCTCCTGTCCAAAATAATCAGCTCGAGGGCCAATAGGTTGGTTGAGCTTCATTTCACAAACGTAGGGTATATTACCTCCCAGAACCTCAGGCCTTGGTCTGTAAAGGTTAGACACATTCTAAAGCCGAGAAGTCTCCCTGCCAGTCAGAGTGCCCCGTCACTTTCTCTGAGAGGCACAGGCTGGGGCAGGTCCCTGTAATCCTGCAGCAGTTTTCTAACCCTAGCCCTGGAAGAGCTCTTCAAAGGTGAAGGAAGAGACCAAGAAGTCCTCAGCACTGGTTTAATGAGCTGCAGTGTGTGGGAGAGCTACTCCATCACCAGATATAATAGTGCAGAAAAACAATGCAGATGCCTTCTCCAGAGATTAAAAAAAGGGGAGTGGAATCAAGATATGTGTGCAAAAAAATAGATAAATATATCACTAATTAGGTTAGAGTGTCTTGGCACACTGGCACATGAACAGGATGATGTACTGCTAGTAAGAAGATGTTGCTGTTAAAGATTCAACAAGGGGAAAAAAACACTGCAAACAATTTCATTATTGTTTTTGATAATGTTATTGGGGGAGAACATTTGATCTGAAGCAGGGAAGGAAAGAGAGGAGGCTTAAAGAGAGAATGAACATTGAAGCTATCTTTACCTCCACCTCTGTAAGGAGATTTACAGCTGAGGGAACGTTGCCCACACTCCTTTGCTCCCGTCCGTCCTTCTCACATATCTATTCTCCATGTCCGTATTGATTTCTGTGTGGGTAACTAAGACCCACAAAGGTTCCCTCTAAGGCAGAATTGTATCCCGTTCTGAGCAGCTGAGGGTTGACCGTGTGCATTAAAAACTGAAAGGTTGGGTTTAAGGTTTCAGATGCTTGAGTTCTGACCCCTAAACTCTGAGCAAACTGTTTCGATTGGAGTCAGAGAGTCGTTGTTCGCCTAGAGGGGAGAAGGAAAAAGGACTGAGGAGGGAAAGATTTAGGATAAAGGGAGTTTGGGATGAGAGGAAGTGGATGAAAGGAGAAAAAGAGGACTGGAAAGATATCACGATGCAAGTTCTGCATTATCCTTTAAATTGAGGCCCTGTCTTGAAGGTTCAGAGTGTAAGACTGATATGTTTTTTGAAAGAAATTGAATATGATATACAATAACTATGTTATTTATTAGTGTATAACCACCTGTAACTAAGAATTGTTGTATGTCTTTTGACTAAATCAAGCTCTTCTTTCCTACACAGGCTAAAATTAGAGTTATGTTAGGGTCAGGCATTATGGACAGCCATGTTTCTACAGTAGCCCAGAATGGACAAACCAACCACCAAGAAAAGAAGGGAACAATTGTGACTTGGCCTCTTGTTTGGGCTCCCAGCATGTCAATCTGGCAAAGAGTCCACCATGTTTCAATATAATGGGCCAGTAAACCTGCTGACAAGCAGAAAAAAACAGAACTTAACATGACATTACTTCCCTGGCGAAGGTCATTAGAGCATTAGCAGTGCTTAAAATGATCAGTAAAGCATGCACACTTTTCTGTGTGTTTGGGAATCTTCCGTTCTCCACCCCTCTCATTGTAACCCAGATTTGCTCATCACAGAGCTGCGAGCTTCAAAGGGAATGCCTCCACTCTTCTAACAGCCTCGGAAATGAGCCGGCGTCTGGCGCGTGCGGCTGTGAATGTGTCACTGACTCGGCGCAGTTCTGTGAAGTGGTTTTCCCTTCGTGCTATCCCCCCCCGTACACACGCTACAGGCAGTGTGACGCCTGAGCGGGCAGGATGACGTCACTGTGGAAGATCTGAAGCTTTCCTTTGGGAACTGGGGTTTCCTGACAACCTAAGCCAAGTAGAACAGTAGAAAGCAGAGACGGCTCCTTGGAAGAAAGTTAAGCTCTGTCACAACTCTGAGAGGAGGTGAGCAGTGGGAGAGGATCAAATGATACAGTCTTTTGTTCTGCTATTCTACATCGTTCTGTTTCCACATCAAAATACTGTAAAAGGAGCCTATTAGGATTAAAAGATGCTGATAAAGATTGACGCTAATATATAAAGCAAGGTCGGGAAATAGGTGGGTGCGATGTTTATCGATTGTGAAAAAATCATGAGGAGGAAGTGACTTAGAGAGAAAGTGGAGGAGGAAATGAAGCATGGTGTCAAAGATTCAAGAGGAGAGGAAAGGATGCTGTTTCTGTAGCGTCTGTGATAAGAGCATCCTTGTGAGAGAAAGACCTACCAGCCTCTATTCTCCCATTGTCCTTCACCAGATTCACTTCGATTTCCAAAATAGCATGTTCGCTTTCTGTTTCAAGGCTTTTAGGAAATGTGGTTCTGAGATACATGTTTACAAACGTGTAGCAACTAGGATCCAACAGAAGTTTTTTTCGGACAAATAATTTAAAGTCAAGATCCACTTGGTTACCTCTGACAAAGCATTCACTATTCTTCCAAACATGAACTGCAGCATCCGGCTCTGTAGCAAGCTAATTAGTGCATAACATGTATTGATTACTTATTTTCTTGTTACCATGGCTTTAAAGATGTTGAAGGTTGCCTTATTGCAGAATTTTGCGAACTCAGCTAGACGTAGCTCAACTGACCCTTAGCAACAAGCGAAAAGTGGTGGATGCGTTGACTTAGCCACAGTAACGTCAACCATTTTGTTTTCGACTTTAGATCTAAAGCCTTGAGGTATCCATGTGACTGTCTCCATTTTGTTTTTTTGGAGCCTGAATGTCAGCGGAAGGAGTGGGGGCCAGCAAAGCAAATTACATGCTAATTGTAGGTCAGCAAACCATAAAATATATCAGATATTTGCATTAAACCAGCTTTAAAGGGGCCCTAATATGCTTTTTATGGGTGGGGTAATCAGTGGCGGCGCCAGGGTATGGCTGGGGTAGGCTACAGCCATACCAAGAAATGGCTTAGCCCTACCTTAGCCCGACCATGAAAAAGTAAGCATGTTGAGAACTAGGGGTGGGCGGATCGATCCCAAAATATTGATTAGGGATGCACCGAATATTCGGCCGCCGAAAATTATCGGCCGAAAATGGTTAAAAAGGCCCTTTCGGCTTTCGGCCTATCAGAGAAAGAGGCGCGGATTGCGATTTGTAAAACGTGTTCAGCTGACATTTCTCGAGGGGGTGTAACTGCAAAGACTTTCACCACTTCGGGATTACTCCACCACTTGAAATCAAAACACCCGGACAAATATGCGGAGTAAGATCAAATCACAAGCACTGACAGCGAGAGACTGTTCAGCGCTGCCTCTCATGTGCTTGATGAGAAGAGGAACAGACTTATGGCTGATAAAGCAGAGAAGCTAATGTTCATTAAAAAGAACCTCCCACTTTTCCTTAATAAGTAGACAAGGCTGGCTTATCATAAGCTTATCTAGTTCTACATGTCTACTCTATACCCACTTTCCTGAACAATTTTCATTGTGAGTTATAATTCACCATCTCAGGTTATCATTAGTGGGAAATGACAGCAGCACAGTGTTCAATATATTGTACTTTCGGTATCGAAATGATACAATGTTGTTTACATTGCTCATGAGGACAGACCACCTTATTTGCAGATTCTTGAAATTGTAATTTAATTTGTAATTGATTAATAATAATAATAATAGATTTAATTTGTTAGCGCTTTTACAGGTGCTCAAAGACGCTTGATTGTGGATTTTGTATCCAGTTTTCACTTTATGTATCTTTATACAATGTTTACTACTTTGCTTATGAGGACAGACAGCCTTATTTACAGATTCTTGAAATTCAATTGNCTCTTGTGGGTCGGATCATTGATGTCGTTGGTTCGGAAGTTGATCGGCCGTCAGTTTTTGAGTACATAGAAGCTTAGATGAATGTTCTCACTATACCCTTCACATTGCAAGGTTGGCTAAAACAACCTTTTTCCGGGGGAAACAAAGTTAGTGATTACTGGTTCCATGTTGATTTAATTCAATACAAATTGTCTGGGGGAACTGAAAGGCTATTACCGTACTGGTTACTTTGCAGCCCGGACATTTCCCCCAAAACACATATAGACGCTATCGCAACACAGAAGTACCTTTCAAATCCGATAATTTTTAAGACCTTCTAGATCATATTTAAGACCTTTCTTATTTTTTTGGTGCTATTAAAGACCTTTTTAAGCCCTTAAATTCAGATTATCAAATTTAAGACTTTTTAAGACCCCGCGGGAACCCTGTGGACTGCAATTGTTAAATGCATTTTATAAAGCGCTTGTCCAGGACTAACGACCCCTCAAAAGGAGTCAGAATTAACACATTCATGCAGAGGCTGCCAGAAAAAGACACTCAAACAGTTGGCCATGCCATTGGGAGCAATTTGGGGTAAGTTTCAGTATCTTGCCCAAAGACACATGGTAACAGCCGACCCTCTGACTGGAGCAGACCGACCCTCTAACTCCTGAGCCACAGCCCCCCCCCCCCTCACACATGTTTCAAAATGATAAAAGCATGACTTTGTGGCCTATTGTTGAATCAAACACACACAGACACACTGATGGGATGGAGTGAAAAGAAGAAAAGAGAGGACAGTACCTTCATGACGGGCTGAGCGAAGTACTTGGCGCTCCAATCACAGAGGCCCGTCTGCAGGGAGGCGCTGATATAGTTCCTGTGGCACGGCTCGTCACCATCCTCCCCTCCCTACACAGACACATACATTTTCCCGCAGTTCAAAGAGTTAACTAAAGAGGTAACTAAACAACAAAAATTTCCCCCCCACAGACTGGTGCGGCCCCTACCTGCTCCGGTCCCTTTTCAAACATCTTGCGTGTGCGGGGGAACTGGTGGGAGTGGGGCGCCTGCCCTCCCGGGGTGGGGGTGTAGGGGGGCCGTGTGGCTGGGGGCTCTCTGGCCGGGGGTTTGGGAACCTCATTGGTCAGACTGGAGCTGCTGGCGCTGGGCATGGGGGGGGAGCCACTGGAGGAGCAGAGACTTTAATGTAAGGACAGGAAGTTAGATTCCATCAGCCTCACCTTTCATGTCTAAAGATAAGTTCGCAGTAATGCACTATTTCACCAATTCAATCCAACCAATTGAAGGAATTATATCACATTTTATCTGCAAGTGAACTTCATACTGATGAATAATATATTGTTCTGATGCTCTGCATAGATTGCCACTGATACAAAAAACGAGTGCATTGCATACAGTGTGTGCTACTGTAACTGTATAATATTTACCTCTCTGACTATAAAGTGACGCTTTTAAAAGGAACTAGTTGATCGGTGGTGTTTGATGACTTGAAGCTTAAAGCAGGTAATGTATGCAGTGTAAATTGCCATGGCGATTTAGCCGGGTTAAACCACCTTTGAAGTACGGAAAACTCTGGCTTTAGGTTCAACATACCTCGCTAACCCTCTAATCTGGCTTCATATATCCCCCTCAGATTCCATTCATTTTTTTTGGTTATTTTTGATTACAATTTAGTGATGTACTTCTGGCTGCTTCATAACATATTTTGTTAAGTTAATTTACTTTTATAATTCTGCTACTCATTTTATTTCACCTTGGATGAGGACCTCTAAACATTTTATTTGTATTTTATCAATGCGTGCTGGCCTTTTTATTGAATAGGTTAGTTTACTTATTTAATCTAGCATTTTAATCTGCATTGTTCCTTAACTTTGACGCTGTAAAAGTCCCCGCTGTGGGACAGATAAAGGATTTGTGATTGTGAGTGTGAACGTAGCTTTAATGTCAACAGAAACAAGTACGGAAACGTCTCTGTTTTATATTTCATATTCATCATATCATATTTATATCCAGGGTTTAGCGTCATTATTAAGTCATTACTTGTATCACTTTTTCCTGTCTGTTCTTGTTCAGGCACAGACCACATAACAAAATATCTTATGAAATGTAATGAATGCTGTGTGTGTGACTCCTTGCTTTGTTACCAGCCTTGAACTACGTACTAGTTTTTGTCATGAAAACAAAATGAGACATTTGAAGTGGTTTTAGTATTCTTCAAATGTAGGTTCTTCACTCTGTGTCTCAGTCCTGCTGGAAGGAATGCTGCTGTATGCATTTGTTTCAGGCTTTATTGTGGTAATGTTTCTTTGTGTGTGTGTGTGTGTGTGTGTGTGTGTTAGCTGTTCTCTCACCCGGCCTGGTGGATGTGTGTGCCCTTGCTGGTGGGGCTGGCGGGGGCCGACTGGGTGAGAGAGCCCGAGTCCAGGATCCTCTGGGGCCGAGCGTTCATGGTTGCCTGGGGACAAAGAAAGTTTTAATCCTCACGAGAGACACCTGTGGTCTGAAAGCAGCTCAACACACCCTGCATGTCTCTAAAGGTCAACCCAGGGTTTATCATTCAGGTTATGAGCACGTTCACATGAGAGAGGCGGAGAAATTTAAACCAGAAACAAACATGTAGAAGCATACTGTCAGGAGAGCATCATATGTCAACGATGAAAAGTTGACTGTGATATTAGAATTTTTTTTAAGTAAATTATTTAAATCATGTACATTTGTACTGTCCAATCCAAGTAGGGAATGAGTCCTTACCCCAAGTGAAGGAGTTCAAGTATCTCGGGGTCTTGTTCTCGAGTGAGGGAACAATGGAGCGTGAGATGGGTCGGAGAATCGGAGCAGCGGGAGCGGTACTGCAGTCGCTTTACCGCACCGTTGTGACAAAAAGGGAGCTGAGCCAGAAGGCAAAGCTCTCTGTCTACCGCGCCATTTTCCTTCCTACCCTCACCTATGGTCATGAAGGATGGGTCATGACCGAAAGAACGAGATCGCGGGTACAAGCGGCCGAGATGGGTTTTCTCCGCAGGGTGGCTGGCGTCTCCCTTAGGGATAAGGTGAGAAGTTCAGTCATCCGGGAGGGACTCGGAGTTGAACCGCTCCTCCTTCGCGTCGAAAGGAGCCAGTTGAGGTGGTTCGGGCACCTAGTAAGGATGCCACCTGGGCGCCTCCCTAGGGAGGTGTTCCAGGCACGTCCAGCTGGGAAGAGAGTTATTTTATAATCCCTCACAGCATACATACAAGTGATTCATCTGTAGCAAATTAGCACTAACAATGCACAGTCTGCGACACTGTGCACGAGGTGTGGCACCGCAACGTGCGGCTCAATAGGCTGACACAGATAAGTGAAAATATGATGTGATATGAATGATAAGTGTATGCATTGCTCTAAATTGCTCAGGTTACTTATGCTGTGAAGTCTATGATCATAAAATAAGTAAGCTGGCTTACTGCAAATGTAATTATAGTCAAATCTTTCCTATATTGGCAGTTTTATTCTGATCATTCAGACATTCAATCAGTATGCGATTTATTGCCAGCGGTCCTTACTGCATTTGGCAGTTTAAACTGTGTTTCCCTTAGTCTGGAAAATGCCTTAATAGTCTTAATCTTCTTCATATTAGTGTAATATTATTTATGTTCTGATTGGTCAGCAGGCAGTGCATTTCTTTGTGTTGATCTCCAACATAACCTGCTCTTGAGAAGTGAAAGAAGTCCATTTTAAAGTGATGACTGACATTTACCCTTGTTATAACTTCCTACAACAAAGTTTAGATTTAAATATATGCACCTTATGTCACTCAGACATTAAAACATCTCTTAATTTCTTCTAGTATAATTCAAAAAATGTTGGGATACTTTCCAGTGTTGGCCAACTTACAGTGACCAAAATATTCCTATTTTAACATGTGAAAATATCAAATTTCAATTCCCATTTTGCAAAGTTTGGCTAAAAGCCTCAAACTTGATGTCATTAAACGGAGCAGGTAGTACAACTTCTCATTGTGCGTTGTCTAGCGGCTGCTCACAGGGGAGGGGTAAACCTAATAAAGACAATAGAGGCAAAGCATCGTTGATGAATAGCAGAGATGTTGTTTACTCGAGCCAGGTGGAGAGAAGCGCTGTAAATCTAGTTAACAAAGGCAAACGCATTTTACTACCTCTGATTTCATTTCTATGCTAATTGCACGATTGCATCGAGTATCTTTTGTTTGTCTAAAAGGCTGAGGGGGAGAGAGAAAAGTTTTGAATGCAAAGTTTAAACAAATTAAATCCACTTTTTTGCATTTGTGGCGGGGAGAACACATCAGTTACCCGGGTTAGCTGTTACTGCTTCATTAAAAGGCAATTTGAAATGTAAAAAAGGGCAGTAACGCCGGCTGAAAGGGTTATTATGGAAATAACTCAGTCACTGACGTAAGTATATTTTCTAATCAAGCAAACACAAGGTAATAAAGGTAAAGGTAAATAAAGGTTTTATATGGTAAAAAGGGACAAACAGAGGAAAGGTTGATGACTTTAGACAGAAAGGTGACGGGTAGCTGCTTGTGTGAATGCAGCAGTGCACGGCAGACATCATGCAAAGACAATGACATGATAATTAAACAGCAAAACTGAAGTTCACACTGCAGCTTTAATCCTCCTGAAGAGCTGGAAAGAGGTTGCTTGTGCAGCTTTAAACCAGTAAAAGCTCAAACTAAAATAACTTAAAAAAACACAAGGCTACAGGGTGGAACAGAGTTTATCAAGCCTCTCATGCATTACATGTTGGAGTGCATCCATTAACAACCTTGTATTTTGTCAGAGTATCCAGTATTTCATGCCTTAAAAGGATAGTTTCGATGTTTGAAAGTGTTACAGTATATGAAGTATTATCCACAGGCAGTAGACGGAGGTGGACACATTTTCTTGTATAAAGAGAACTGGACTTTCTCTTCTCAGTCAAATGAATGGAAAGGGAAAATAACTCTAGATTTGGCTTTCAGCAAATAACTCTTAGGACCTAAGGATGTGAATAAGGGCTATAGAACTGTTCCTAATGGGTAGTTGTTAGACATAAAAAAAATGTATCCACTGATTTACAGACATGTCATTCCCAATGTAATGTAGGTCAATGGAAACATTTTTTTTGTCCGAATGACCTCACTGACTGACACGGAAGGGGAAGTACCACTGTTTGGCCACTGGAAAACGTGTTCGCAGAGAAACAGATTGTATTTGCACAGGGCTAAGCAATGTACTGCTGCAGAGGAGGCATCAGCCACCTTAAAAAAAAAGGCCAACCTAATTAATAACATATTTTCAACACTTTACATTGCTGTCAGACAGCCCTTTCTAAGGATAAGACATCACTCTTTCCAAAGCCATCAGAAACTATTGACAAATAGGTGATTTGACCGTGCAGAACACTCCTTGAGGAAGACAGAGGAAATAACACTGAGTTGAGAGGTAACATTTGGGGGCTGCATGAATTGGAAAAAAATACCTTGTGATTATTTTTGACTTATGTTGCAACTACGATATGATTTGCAATATCACAGGGAATAATCTTTTTTGAAACATTATTCATATTATCATTGATACATATATCTTGTACTTATACTGTAGTCCCATATTTAAAATCATTGCACACTCCTAGTCAAATTACTCTTAATGGAGTATGGTGGCTTTGAGTAAAGTGGTTCAATATGATAAATATTGTGTAGTTTTAATGAAGCGTGTTTTTCTTTTAGTCGTCTAAAATACATTTTTCTGCTTCCGTGCTGCTACTGCTGTATGTTCCTATAAAGTACCATATACAGCAGGAAATACACTGACTATGGATAAGTACCTCATATAACCCCATTTAAAAAACATCCAACTATCTTTGTAAGAAAAAGAACATTCTAGACACGTTTGACCAGATGCTGGTATGAATGTAAACTTGCGAGCTCATCAATTGTCTCATTAATGTTCATGGATTATTCTTCAACATTTGCAGATCATCAACATGTTGTGAACAAACATGCTACAAAACAACGCAGGAGGCAACACGCCTTATCTGCTGACTAGCTTTCCAGAACATGTGATATGCAAAGCGCCCGCATTAGCAGGAAAGTGGCGTAATGGTTTCTCACAGCTGCCTCTCTCCACACTCTGCTGTGTCATCCCACTTCCTCCATCATTAATTGGCTAGAATGTTAGTCGACGATGAAAAAGAGTGCATGGATAGCGCTGTAAGCAAGGATGCAAGGGTGAGAGCTGTTGACGGCCAAGAAAAACCTCTGAATGTTCCGGTTCAATTATTGAAGGTGCTTCTGAAAGGTTTAGCTGGTGGAGAAAGTGCCAAGCACCGCCTTGATGTATGATGATGACATGGAAGTGGTCAAGTTGAGTGTCATGGGGTGTGTGAGAGGAAATATCTGCTGCATCAGGTGGGGGATTCAAGTCTCCTCTCGCTTACGGTGGCCAACAGGTGCCAAAATATTTCCATTAGGAGAAACGTGCTGCACTTTCAAAAACGGTGCAATAAAAACAACACAAATGTGCCAAAACACATGCAGATAAAGAAAGATCTTCACCAACTTGACAAACACGCGCATCGTTTATTAAAATCGTTGCATGAACAAAACGCAGCAAAAAGTTCCAAATGCAACAGAAACGGGGATAATAAAAAGTGATGCACACAGCTGGGGCCGAAGGATTTTTGACATTTGGAGGTAATAAAGTTGGCGAACATGACATATCATTGTCAATGGAAACCTAAAATAACGTTATTTTTGGCTTATTTTAACAATGTGCTTGCATTACAATATTATTGCAAAACTGCTGTAAGCTAGCTGTGTGCGTCACCTTTTAGTGCCCCCGTTTCCATTGTGTTTTGAGCTACAAGCAGCGATTTTAGTAAACGCTGCACTTGTTTCGTCCAATTGGTGAATGTTTTTCTAAATGCTGCGCACATCTTGTCAAGTAGTTGACTTCAAAATGCAGTGCGTTTCTCCTAGTGGAAATGTTTTGGGCCTTTGTAATACATTTGCACTTGTCAGCCACTATATTTGTCAAATGAAAATGACATTCAAACATTTTTAAAAGTGCATATAGCTTCTTTTATCCAGCAAGCCAGACTTACTAAAGAAGCACAGATGAGTCAGGATAGAATAAAAGACCCAAGGCTTTTCACCCCAGAATCCTGCAGCAAGAGGTGGCTATTAAAAATCATTTAATGCTCTCATCATCTGAGGAGCAAGTCAATTTTAATTAGCTGCTGACCTTGTTCATTTTGTACCAAATCACTAACATTTGACATTTAAAAACCTAATTAAAAGAGCTGGATCTCCCAGTTAGGCTGATGTTAACACTTGTGAACTTGGGATGGATGTGCTCTGATTAAACTGTCTCTGCAAGAAATAATGTGTGCTCCATCTATGATAACTCATTAACTTCAGAAAGTAAGGCCTTTAAAAAGGTGCTTAAATTGTTATTCTCTTCAAATGTCACACTGTTCTTCCTCTTTTTTAGCATACTGAAAAGAGATACAACATTGATATTCAAAACGTATTCCATTGTGTTTTCTGAAAAGAGTGTCAGATGGAAAACTCATCTTTTTGTTTGCCACAGCCGACGTTAAATTGACCGGACTTCTTTCTGGGCATTGATATGACTGCATGTCATCCTAAATTCAGAGCGTCCTAGAATGACTCAAGATGTAGAATTTCTCTTCAGCGTATTCATGTCATGAAAATAGAACATGAACACTTTGTAAGAAGCTTAACTATGAAGTTAAACTGGAGTCGATGAGTGTGTGATCTCATCCCAGTCAGACGACATTTTGCACAAATCAGATACAATTTTGAATTGAGAAAAAATTAAAGTCTCATGTAAGATAAAAAAAAAAAACAGTCATATAAATCAGGAAAAGTCCACCTAATCAGGAAACGTCTGAGTCAAAGTAAACCTGTACACGTCAAGTCTCAAGTCAATGAAACAAGTAAAGAAGAGGAGTACAGGTCAAATAACAGGTCACATAAGACAAGTAAAAGTCAAGCATCACATCAAAGGAGACAAGTTAAGTCTTAATTCCAAAAGAACATTGCGGGTTGATTCCCAAGGCAAAGAAGACAAGTACATTAATAGTCCCAAGTGAAATAGTCAAGTCAAGTCTCCAGTCAAAAAAGACAAGACAAAAAAGAAATAAAAATACAAGTTCAAATCAAGTCCAAAGTCAAAGAAAATAAGTATAAGTCTTAAAAATATTAAGTTAAGGAAAGATACCAAATCAATAAAAAGACAAGTGTTGGATCATTCAAGACCTGTTCAATCAAGTCTTCTCTAATTTAATCTTGGTTTCAAATCAATGTAAACAAGTCCAAGTTAAGTCACAAGTCCTTAAGCGTAAGTCAAAGTCAATCGCAGGCCATTTGCAAGTCTTTGAGGTCTATGAAAGATGAGCATTAAAATGATAAGCTGTGTACAAACAGTTATCTATGTAAGTGATTCCGATATATTAAACACTCCAGGTTTAAAACTTAGGAATGTAATGTTTTTGCTTTCAGATTTTTAGGAAGCAATATTTGTTAGCGTTGGAGTCTGGCTTGCAATGTGATTGAAGTCTTAAATCTTCAGCTCTTACAATTAACAGACGTGTGAAGGTGACTCAGAAGGTAAGGGGTTGGTGCAGATTGTCTATTGGAGGAGACACTCTTTGATAAATATGACACCACTGCTTGCTCAGCTGACTCTAGGTCTGCAGGTACACAATAGTGTGTTTTGGTGTTACACAATCAGCATAGAGCTCTAGCTGTAGAACAGAAGTCTTATTGCCTTTGATTGTGAATCAAGTCCTGTTGCTTTTTATTGCAGTCCAGTAGCAGTCTCATTGCAGAGGTGTCGCTGTGAGGGGGAAATTGGTGTTGGTGCTCGGAAACTAGAGCCTCTCTGCCTGAGGGTCGGGATGGGCGGTGGACTGCCGTGGTTATTATGGCTCCTTAAGTTACAGCAGTCTCTTTGCTCTGACCTGCCGAGCCTCGGGGAGTCGTTGGCCCTTAATTGCATTTGCACAAAAGTAATGGCCTTTTGTAGAAAGAGAATGCCATGGGAAGGATGGTGTGTGTGTGTGTGTGTGTGTGTGTGTGTGTGTGTGTGTGTGTGTGTGTGTGTGTGTGCTGGAAACATATTTTTCACCACATAACCATGTGGTGAAAAGAGCTGACATACGGATACAGAGACAAAAAGTTGATTATTACACTCTAAAATATGTGTTGACCCTCACCTAAAAAATGACTAACAGTCAAAAATCATCACATTGATTGTTATTTGATCTTCAATACATCCACTAAAAGTGCACCACATCTAAAGAACACCCGTACCTTGTATGCGATGCTGTTGAGGACCTTCATGGCCAGATCTGACACTTCAGGAAAAGGGTCTGCAGCGAGATGTAGCAGCACCCTCCAGATCTGAGTGTAAACACTGTTGAAGGAAACACCTGGAAGAGACAGAAATAAATAAGTTGACGTTTGAAAATCTTTCCGCAAATGAAATTCTGTTTGCAGGTGCAAGTTTTTTTAGACAATACGCACAGAAGATGAATAACCCCACCAGCAAATACATTTAACTCTGGTGCAACCCTGATCACTGCCATCAAAGTTCATTAAAGCAGCGGAGCTAACAGCTAGGTGGTCATGTACAATCATCTCATTAGCATCATGCTAACTGCCACGGTCCATTTTCCTCTCCCGCTGTTGGGTGTGTTGAGGTGGCACAGGGGAAATGACCTCTAATGTCAGGTCATTGACATCATTAATCAACACACACACATAAATACACACACAGGCTACATTTCTGTCACTGTCGTCATGAATACAAATGAACAGTCTCTCCTGTTATGATGTTTCGGCAATTGGCTAATCTTCAGCTTTGACTATAAATGAGCAATGTGAACACGGTCATCATTTCCACAAACCAAAGCCTTTTTAACTATTTAAAGATGAGGTTAATACTTCCATGAATCGGACAATGCAGACATGAAAAGCTCTTTTTATACAGCTAAGGTACCATTTTCTTAATTTAATCCAGTTTGTTTACCTACATTATTCTACAGCGGTATCGAATCGTATAGTACCACATCATATAGTTTTGTATCAAATCGTATTGTTTTTCTTATCCAATCGTGTAAAATTATAGCGTATAGCGCAAAGAATCATACCAAATGTACTGTTATTGGAGATGTTGTATTAAATGAGTCGTACAATTAGATTTATATAGATTAATGTAATAGTATTTATAATGAATACATCTGTATTTGATCTGTTGTATTAGTTAGTGTGATAGGCATTATGAAATGTTTAAATGTTTATTGATTGTTAAGTGTGTAGCTGGCAAATAGCACCTCTTCTCTTTTTAAAATGATTGTATTTTATGCATGGTCCTTCGATAAAGAGATATAATAATAATTGTATCCAATCAAATCTTATCGAATAGTCTTCCATCGTAACAGACCGTACCAAATCGTATCATATAGTTTTGTATTTGACCGTATAGTTCTTTGTGTGAGCAATAACCTCCTTCTCTCCATAACCCCTCCTTACTTTGGGTTTTTACCTTCTTTCGCAGGTGGTCTCTGCAGTGCACTGAGCTGTCTCCTTTCACCCCCACCCTTCTGCTCCCTCCCGCCTCCCCTCAGATCTTCCTAACCATGCAGGTGGTCCTGTAAACCTGGACTCTTATCCCAATTCCTTTTATCATCTCACTGCTTCACTGTCCTTACTCCTCTGTGCGGCTGAAGAATGACTGAAGCCTGGACCCTCTCTCAGCTCAGCCCCCTCTCCAGAGAGTGCTGAGAGGGTTCAATGGTCCCACGCTTCAAAGATAACAGATGAAAGGAGAGGAGGAAGATGGAGGGCTACAGCTGGGGTATGCAGAAGGATACAAAAAGCACTAGAAGAAATCTGAAAAAGGTAAGGAGCTTAGAGGCCAGAAGGAGTAAAAAGGGAATTCAGAAGCGCGTGTGCTGTGAGATTCAGCAGAGCAGGTTCAGAAAGGCTAAAGAAAATCTACAAAGAATGTAAAAAAAGGAAAGAATGAGGAGGAAAGATTGAAAAGAGAAGGAGGGTGAGAGTGACTGAGGAGGAGAGAGCTAGTGACGGAAGTGAAGAGGTGATCAGAGTGTAGCCTGAGGGGCAGGATATGATTAGCGATGGCTAGCGAGCGCTACCTGCTGCAGTAAACAGTTGATACATGTGAAATATGGGTCCTTTCCCATTTAACCACCGTGCTACATTATGGGTTCACACAAATTACCGCTGCATCTCTTCTATAGTCCACATGAGGGGCAGTGACGGCGCACATTACTCACGGCTCCCTGCACCAGGGGCTGTCCTGACTTGACACGAGACCCTTGCACAGTGGTGGATGTGCAGTGGTAAAGACAGTTCATTATTGTCTAAAATAAATGAACCACTGAAGAGGGGTTTATGGCCTCCTTAATTCTGGCAGATTACATAAAATACTTCTAAAACGATTTTAGAGCTGTAAATGGTTGGGGCATAACACATGAATCAGAACATTTGAAAGCGAAGAGGAAAGGCATGTTTTGAATATATTCTGGAGGGGGAAGTAAGCAGTGCAAGCAGTAGCAATTCATATCTGTGATGCTCTTTAAGTGGTGTCTCAAATAAACTGAGTGGAAGCTTTGGATGTGACAAAATATTAACGTCATTGCAGATACAGAAAATGCTAAGCACGCACTATCTGTATTTGCTTTTATAAGATATTTAATGGCACTACATCACGCTTTTATCCAAGGCACTTTTCAATGTTGTCTCTCTTTCACCATTTCCCACAATCACAATGATGCAGGCCTGACCATCAGGAGCGATGAGGGTTGAGTGTCTTGCTAAAAGCATAGCCTGTACCTAAGTAGTAGACGTAGTCAGCATGATACACTATAAAGACAAAAGTATTGGGACACCCCTCTTAATCATTGAATGCAGGTGTTTCATTCAGTCTCATTGCCACAGGTGTATACAATCAAGCACCTAGCCATGCAGTCTGCCTTTACAAACATTTGTGAAAGAATGGGTTGTTCCAAAGAGCTCACTGAATTCGTATGCGGTGAGTCAGTTCGTGACATTTCTTCTCTCCTAGATATTCAATGATCAAAAGTGTTATTATTGCAAAGTGGAAACGTTTAGGAACCAGAGCAACTCAACCAGGAAGTGGCAGACCACGTAAAGTTACAGAGCGGGGTCGCTGAGTGGTGAGGCGCAGAGTGCGTAAAAGTGGCCAAAGCTCTGCTGACTCAATAACTGCAGAGTTCCAGCTCTGGCTTTAATATCAGCACCAAACTGTGGAGCTTCATGGGTTTTCATGGCCGATGCATCAAGCCTTGCATCAAGCCTTACATCACCAAGCACAATGCCAAGCGTCGGATGGAGGGGTGTAAAGCAGGGGTTCCCAAACTTTGCCATGCCAAGGACCCCCATATAGCATTATCCTCTGGCGGGGACCCCCCTGTTGCAATTTTCTTTTTTAATGATGTCTACAAGTGCCTCCCGATGGAAAATGCAGTGCGTTGCCACTACATTTGGGGCCTTCTGCCCGATCGAAGCTGTCACTCCGCTTTCTTTGCCTGTCATAGCCCCACTGCCCCATCTGAACACACACCCACACAACGAGACGTTTGAGATGATGTATCTAAAACTTGGAAAATGTCTCTTCATGTGGTCCTACCTTCCAGTGCTTTGCAAAAATAATATTTCCTCAACAAAGTTGTCTTTTGATATAAATCTGATGTTTGCAAGCAATTCTGCGACATTTGCTACATCCACGCTCTCATCCAGCTGCAGAGCAAAACATTCACTAGCTCTCACTTGCTCCAAAAGCTGAGCAGATTTTCACTCTCAGTAGCGGCAGCTCGATTCTGATTGGCTTGAAGGGCGGTCGTGTGATTCAAAAACAAAAAATATGAAAAGATTGGCATCAAAGGACACATAGATTGATAGATATGCAGTTATTAATAACATCTAAAAAAATGTTACTTTAATCTATAATCTAAGCTATAGAGCTGAATGACCTGGTGCAGGAATGTGATTTCACATGCTGATAATAATAAGGAAATATACAGGGGCCATGGTTCTTTAGGAAAGGAAGATGACTTACAAGACTTAAACTAACCCCATCAGTTGGTCAGTGTCACATATCCAGTAAAATATCTTAACATTTACAGGATAGATTGGAACAACATTTGGTATAGTCATTCATGTTCCCAGCAGGATGAATCTTGTTGGTTTTGGTGAGCTTTGACTTCTTATCTAGGATAACAATTGATCAATTGTTAATACCGAATGACTTAGGGAATTCCATTACTGTAGCTCTACTATTTAGCGCCAATTGGCGAGTTTCAGGCAGCCCTTAAAGGACATGGGAAGTGAGCATGAATTGGGTTCATGATGTTGAACTTGATGATATTATATCTGCTCGGCATTAGCTTATTAGCATTGTCACTGGGTGCATGACAGCATACCAATCAATAAAACCTCCATATGTAATTCACTTCCTTGTAATTGCTAAAAATCACATTTTGAACATCAACTTATTATTCTTCCTCAACCTCTTTTTCATTACAGCCTCACAGAGATACTGGCGTTGCAGTTGCAGTGTAGTAGAGTGTGTATGAATTATAGTAAGAAGGCAAACACAAACAAAGAAATTAAAATACAATCAATAAATCACTGCTGCAACTCTCCACCCGACTCCCACACTGTTCTGTTATCCTGCTGGCTTCCTGCGAGTTAGTGTCCAGCAGCATTTAGCATTTATATTTGCAATTTGTTTTGACGGTACACTACGCAGGCCACTTTACCTCTCAACACTTATTTTTGTTGTTTGCAGTGTTGACTCACAGATGTTATAAAACTGAGAAATTGTGCTGCTGTGTACTAAAAACATGAGAAACAAGTTCATACATTTTTAAGGCGAGATGAACAAAAGGCCCCAGGGTGTTGGGGAGACAACTTCAAACAGAAAAAAATTAAGCAAATGAGTAAACAAGAAGTCTTTGTTAAATGAGATATAACAGAAATATAATTGCCAATGGAATTTGATGCTAATTTGCACAGTAGTATATATTTCAGCTTTTTATTTTGGGTCCTAATGCTACTAACACCCTGCTTGGCTCTGCTTGTTTATACATGCAGTACGCGGTGAGGTGGGTGTCGTAAACAAGAGCGCTAGGAGGCTGGGACTCTTTCAGCTGGGGCGGGGGCACAGCCTGGTGGGCGCGGGGCCAACATTTCTTTTAACCTGCTTACACTGGGACCGTGCGCCAGCTTTAAGAAGCAGAAGCAGCTTGAAAAAGGTTTAACCCGACATTGACTGCTCAATTGTTCAGATAACAGGGTAATGAGAGCGAGTGCGAGGCTTTTTGGTATGGTATGTGTATCTTAAAAACAAATTCTACACAAGGTTGAGTTTTATTTTTAGATTTGATTAATTCTGGATTAGTTGATAAATCCCAGATTACAAAATGACCTAATGTATCTACCCTTTGTGAAAAGATATATGCAGGAATACACATTTGATTAACTTTGTCTGAAAGAGAAATATCTTTATGGGACATTAAGAGTCCCTATTCTGCTTTTGGGTCTTCCTTTTCCTTCGTTTTGGTGCATGTAAATGGTCTGCAAAGGCATAAATCCCTGTGTTCCCTGCAGAAGGAGTTTCTCTCCCCCCTGCCTGAAACCCCTCCATTGGACTCCTTTGTTTACTTCCGTAATTTAGTGACATCACTATGTGTAATCGCGCTTCTATTGACTAGCGCTCCAACACATTGTACATGAAAAATTAAAGGACGGTACATTTATATAAGGTCTAGACCAGGGGTGGCCAACCCGCGGCTCTCGAGCCGCATGCAGCTCTCGAGCCGCATGCAGCTCTTTGCCTAGTTTCATGCGGCTCTTCAGAATTTTATATGTGTGAGTTTGGGGGAGAGACACTGACTCCTGACTAGTGTTGCACGGTGTACCGATACTTGAAAGGTATACCGCGATACCCTGCCGTTAAAAACGTTATGATTCCTCCGTTTCATTAGTATCGGTACTTTAAGAATGACGGGGGAAAGTACTCCGGTGAGAAAGCGCCGTTTTAATAAGAGCCGTGTGTGTTCAGCGCTCTGCTTCCAATCCCTGCACTGCAGCCGTGCCTGCAGTCCCGCCCCTCTCCCTTTCAATTATTGTTCTCATTGTTTAAAAGTTTGTGTTATGGTTCTGGTGAGAAATAAAGCACAATAATTACATTTAAGACTGTTTCCCTTTTTTTAAGAAAAGAATNTTTCTACATGTTCCATAAAATGGAGGAAAAAATAATCATTGCGGTAGTTGTATGATCAGTCTCTGTTCATCTACCGGGATACAAACCGGAGGAGCCAGGCATGGGCCTGGCTCCTCCGGTTTGTATCCCGGTAGATGAACAGAGACTGATCATACAACTACCGCAATGATTATTTTTTCCTCCATTTTATGGAACATGTAGAAATGACCTGCGGTATGGCTCTCGCAGCATACACACGGTTTGATTGGCTAGCAGTTGTACTGGCAGATTTTCATAAACGGGATTTTATTGGCTGACGCTTCCGTCGAGCAACGCTCCCCACAATTCAGTTCGGCGAAGCGTGACGTCACCCCATTCAAAGTGAATTGGCAGAAGCGTTGAAGCTTCAACGCACGCCGCTGTGTGGAGGGTCCGTAAAAGCGGAGGTGCTGTTGACGCTAAATACCGTAGCTAAACACCATCATACAACAGCAACGATGAAATAGTGTATCCAAGGCAGCAGAGCTCTGAATATAGCTCTTGTCTGTCTGTCTCTGTCTCTGTCTCTCTCTCTCTCTCTTATGTTCAGTCATTGTTCTTATGTTGAACATGAATACATTTACTTTGTAAGTAATTATGGGACGTATTTCTTCTTTCATATCAATTTTCCTTCATACTTCATTGCCGTGAAATAGGTCTTAAATTCTATTCAATGTGGTCTTAAAAAGGTCTTAAAAAGTCTTACATTTGAGTTGGCGAAACCTGCAGGAACCCTGAGTCCAGTCCAACGTACTGCTTTAAAGAAATGCAGACATTTCTACACACAATAAAATAGACAAAAAAAAGGTCCATCTTACTTTAATCACTCATTCAAAAACTATTTTTTTTTATTCCTCCAACATAAAAACTAGTGATTCAAAAGCAGCTTGGATGGGTTGCTAAGCAACAAAGAATTACTATGACAGGTTTTCAGTTTTCACATAAATATTGATGTGGAGTGGTGTCATAGGTCCAGGTTAGTGAGGCATTTTACAATGCAGCAGAGCCCGAGCCATCTGAGGACAGGCGCATGTGAAGTATTTTGGAAAGTAATGAAGTCCGGTCCACCCCCCCTGTGAGGAAGCACCTGCTGCTGCAGCTACACGCTTCTCCTGAATAACTGAGCACCCCTGATTCATAACTTAATGTCCTCCTGAGGAGAATTTCAGATTAAAAGAGCAGCTTTTGACCGTGCACAGTAGTCTCTGCCGAATTTTGTAAAATGAAATTAGGCTTCCGTCTGTTTGAACAGCCTCAACATGCCGTCCTCCCCAGGGGGGGAAAACAAATCAGCAGATTATGTTGAGGTTAACCGAAGAAGAAGGGAATTATTTCAGAAAGAGTTAATAATGAGGGTCAGCTAGAGGAGAGAGTTTTGAGGGTAGAATAGGAATTGTATAAGAAATTGATGTGAGCACAGGAGACAGAGCAGCTGATACAGAGAGAAAAGTAGATTCACTTGTAATAAAATATTTACAACTCAAAGACATTCAGGGCAAGAAGAGGGACGGGGGATGTAGAGAGAAAGCAGAAAGAAAGACCAAGTAATACATGAAAGTAAGATAAAAAGAAGAGAATACACGGAGGGCGAAGAGGAAGAACAGAGGTGTTGGAGGTAAAAAACAAAGAAACGTGTCTGAGCGTAGCGAGTAAAAGGAAGATGGAGCCAGAAGAGGCAACAAAAGGTGATAAAAGGACAGAGATGATTGGATGGGACTAGTAAGTGAAAGAGAGGAGAGGAGTTTGCCGTAGCGCGAATCAGAATGCTGCGTTTGCAAAAATGTTGAGTGCTGCCATAAAACTCCACTCCAAAGGTGGTGTGTGTGTGTGTGTGTGTGTGTGTGTGTGTGTGTGTGTGTGTGTGTGTGTGTGTGTGTGTGTGTGTGTGTGTGTGTGTGTGTGTGTGTGTGTGTGTGTGTGTGTGTGTGTGTGTGTGTGTGTGTGTGTTTCAGTTTTCAACTATGAATGTGTCATACCCACTTAACGGGAAGAAACTCAGCTATCAGACAATATTAACCATTTTTAGCAAAACAAAACACAAGGGTAATAACAAGCCTCTGAATTAGCCCTGAGCAAAAGAATGCTAACGCACTTAGCACAGAACTCACGGTATAAATACTTTATTACTTTTCAGATCTGCACAAACAAGATATCAGATTAAAGCTGAGATTCCACAGATTCTAGAGGTATTATTATCATCACTGAGCGTCCAAAACTCGCGGCAGGAGAAGCAAACCCAGACATCACACAACGTAGCTTTACGGGACCAAAACTGAAAGTAAGTCTTACCCCCTGATCCCACCGGAAGCGTCTGCGCTGAGCTGCGGCTGCGGCGTTTTTAGCGATCGCGGCCACTCTAGTCAATGGGTGCTATTCCACCAGACCCGCTGCGCCGCGGCTCGAAGCGTCCCAGAAGCTCCTCGCCGCAAGGAATTTCTAAAATATAGGATGAATCCTATTTTTGACGCGGCGCAGCGCAGGCAGGAAGTGGAACGTTCATCCGGCCCAGGCCCATCCCCCAAATAAACCCGTTTGCAGACCCCCTTTCACAACACGACACCCAAAATGGACGAAGAGCGTTTCATCATCGAAGTGGAAAAACACACTATTTTGTATGACATAACCCATCAATACTACAAAGACAACGTCAGAAAGGACAAGGCCTGGTGTTTAGTCGGTGGAGTTATTGGAGTGGAAGGTAAATATTAATGTTTTAAAGTTAATGAATACTTGTATGTACAGTACAGAGCCATTCAATAGTTTAACATGTTGTGAAAGTCATTAAAAAAAACGACGCTCCGCTTCCGCATAAGTCCTCCCTACTCTCCTCCCCAACCCTGTCCTATCAGTCTCTCTTTCCGGTACTACCCTGCACAGGTTGAAAGATCCAGAGAGTTGCGAGTCTACTTGAGAATCTTCAATTAATTAGTGTCCATAGCTAGGCACAAGTGAAGAAGGGCGTGTCCGAAAGGTGATCTAGGTCCCGGCCAAGACAGACGGCTCCTTTACGACCAGAAATACAGAGAGGACGGAAGAGTGACCCGACACATAAATGAGTACGCGGTACTACACACAGTCGCACATCGTACTCTGACTGTCTAGGTACGGACCCTACACCCTGCTAAGTGCCTACTCTAAATTAACTCACAAATTACGCAATATCTAAAGGTATACATAGGTAGCAAAGGCGTGTTTGTTAAGATATAAGTGCCAGTAGGTACACCCTAGTTGCTGATCATGTCCAGTGTTTGGGGAAGTCCGTGTGGTATTGGTTTGTTAAAAATAAAGTCAAAAAAAGACACCTAATAACGAAACTGTTTACATCGAAGACCGAAAAAGTCGAAATTAGTACCATGGTGGAACAATGTGAGGAGGAAACATCAAGTATGTTAACTGTGACTGACCAACAAGAGGAGGTGTACAGACAAAGTACTGACTTATCACACCTCAGATGGGACAGGTGGCCTTCGCAGACGCGACGCGACGCGACACCCGGCGCGGCGCGAACGCGGCGCGGCGCGACGCTGGCGAGGCGCGACGCCCGGAGGAGGACGCAGTATTGGGTGGCCGCGCAAAGTTTGCAACCGCCTTCGCCCCTCGCCAGCACACACGTCATTTATTATTTATTCATATTTTATTCAGAATGAAAGAACACTTTACGTT